AATCAGAACCAAGACAGAGTTGATATTCGAATCATCGTCAGTAGAGACGAGTTGCTTGATTCTCAGATACGTCAAATTGGGAGCAAGAGCACAAAGAGAAAGTAAAGTTTGTTCAGAACAGCTATTAATAGATAAACGCACAATGGCTTCACAGCCTAATTTGTACAGCATTGTTTCAGCCTAAAACTTATGATTGTCCGAGTGAAAAACATCTGAAGATGTCATGAAGTACGCACCTGAACATCTTGTTCGGGACTTGAGCGATATTTACCATCAACAAACAAGTTACCGTTATTCCAATCGACAGGAAGAATATTGCAGACTCGAAGTACATCCAAACATGAGTGAATAGCACTCTTTGCAGAATCGCAATCAACATTCAGATCAACAGTGGCGAAATTGGAACAACTAAGTAAAACTGAACGAAGGTTCGAGTAAGAGTATGTAGATGAAAACACTTGCGGCAATAGTTGCACATCGAAACAGATCTTTTCGATGACATCTTTTATGTGTGAATTGTACTCATCAAATCTCATCTCTGAAGTATCTTTATAAATGATGAAGTGACGAGCCAATTCACAGACTATCAAATCAAATCGATGATTGAGACCATAGAAGGCTTGAACAATATGAGGTGAGCTCAGGTGAGCTATGATCATGAATAACAGTTCATTTGGCAATGATTCCAGACAACTATGCGTTAGAAATAGGATAAAACCAAGTGATAACGCTACGATGAATATAGAAATTACTTTTTTTACCTTCGAAAAGGGCGGAAACCAATCTGTTGTTCATCTTTAGAAGTATGCTGTTCGTCGACAGTTATCCCTTTGTTTCTTTCTGCAGGAGTGCGATGCTTGTTAGCTATGTCAGACTGTACAATCAGACCGCTGGTTTCGTACTTGTGTTGAAATTTTTTGTTAGCTGTTTTGTTCTCCTCTGTACCAGAGAAACAGATGAGATTGTATCTTATAACAGAATAGAAAGGAAGGGATACCTGATTTCGTTATCAACTCATCACTGAATTCCATCATTGTTTAGTTGTTGATTGAAGAGATTCTATCTGATCCTAAAAGCAACACTTCACATTCAGTCTCATTTGGTTCATAAGAGGGGTATGTGAGAGAGTGATAACTTGTTGTTGTAAATGAACTGGGGTGATGTCTTGATGAAATATCTCGTACAAAAAACGTTGAGCTAATGTATGGTGTAACATGCGAAAGATGTAAAGAAATGAGTGTGCACATGTCGACATGAGTGGTGAATATTTACTTACTGTGAAGTGTATGAGACTCTCGTTGTGTGCGTTCTTGTTCGCTGCAGCTATTTTTTTTCTTTCTTGAGTAATCATTCTGAAGAAAGAAAGTGAATACACATGAAACAATTCATGTAGAAGAAAAAGAACAGTTATAATGCAGAATAGTCACGCACGTTGTCTGCAAAGAAAAATTGAAGCCAACAAAATATTTTATGAGATGAAATGCTCGATGATTCGATCAATATTCTCAGCAACATGTTCATGATAGCATTCTGAGATTGAAAACCTTCGATCGGATTGTGTTGAAAATGTTGAAATCTCATATATTGTGATGATCAGACTTAGTTGAATTTTCATCGTCAGAATACGATTGAAACTCGATTCATGTCGGCGATTTTCAACGTATTCCGATCATCGAAAGCCGACAATATCCTCCAGCTAGTGAATTTCAATCGGTAATTCCCTCTTCTATTTTGTGTTCGATTAATAATTTCAATTAGATAATGGCTAATTAATAAACGTAGGTGTAGGTGTAGGTGTCGGTGTAGGTTAGGTTCGAGACAATGACATAACCAAGAAGAAGGCAAATGGGCAATTGCCCATTCCATTTGAACATTTGTCCATTGTGATTTTTATTAATAAGTTTTTGCCTATTCAAGTTTCATTTTTACAGAATCGTTTATTTATTTCTTAATTAGATAGTAACTTCATTTTGTTTTGTTCCGTCTGAATCACGCATGCACTCTTTGCTTGTTCTTTCTGTGAAGAATTAAGAAAAGACGAAGAAAAGAATCGCTTCTTGTATTTTAACTATAAGTTTAGGTGAACATGAGTTTGGTTATTTGGGAAAGCCCTAACCATGAAAAGGTAGACAAGGATAGATCAAAGAGAAGAGAAGCAAGAACATAGAGCAAGAAAACACACACGAACATATATATGTATAGATATATATAGAGAGAGTGGCGCATACAAGAGAAGAGAAAAATCCAATGACGTTTATGTGAGAACATAAAGGAAAAACCCAAGATGTGAAATAATCTAGTTCTTAGGGAAAATGCCCATTTAAGATGCACAAACACATATTGGAAGAATACTCAAAATTAACTTATACAGGTTTTTCCTCTTGCTCATCCATATGTATGTTTACACTTCTATAATACGTTCGCTTACTATCTTCTCATTTTCGAACAGAGCTCACGATAATAACCTATATACTAAGCTATGTCTAATGCAAAGCTACCCATTATGGTATAAAACTACAATTTTTCGTTCAAAAGAATACGCACTGGCGCTGAAAATTTAAGGATGGGTGTAGATGCCGGCAGGCCCCGCAAACGTGGGGGATGTACACGCCCAATAATCGGAAATTATGTATTCGTAACCAAAAAACCTTTCTTTGAAATTTAGTACTAGAAACTTTTGAGGAATGTTTAAACTTTTCGCTTCGTGAAAACGTGACTACTAAGTGGACGTACTAGACTTATATTATCAGTGATGTTTCCTGTATTTAGCACAATTTTACTTTGGTCTTCCTTTTCAAGAGCTTCATTATCAAACAGTCGGCACTAGTGTGGCCTTCTTCGACGGCGAAATCTTTAAGAGCTATCGCAACACTTTTCTTCTTAAACAATATAAGAAAAAAAAGTTTTTCATAATTCGAAAAGATGTTTTCGCTCCGCGAAAAATAGCAATGGTGTAACTGCACTTAAGTTCAATAAACTTCCTACTTTAATCAATTTTTCCTTCAAAACAGCTTGATATAGAATAATTTTCAATAGAGTGATCGCCTTCGACAACGACATTATTGAGAGATTATTTCACATTAGGCTCGTGTTTGCTTCTTGAAAATTTACCAAGAAAAGTCGAATTCTCTAAGAAGCTTCCACAACATTGTCACTTCGCTAAAGATGGTTTCCTTTATGTCACCAGGGAAAAATTAACATCAGATGTGATGTAAAAAGTTTGCATCCCTCAATCTAGACTGTCTCGAAACCTCCTCACACTTCCCCAATCCTGGAACTCTCGCACAGAGCCTGGACATGGGATGTGTGATTGTCTCCCTATCAACAACCACTCTCACACTCACATCCACACTCAAACTCATTCTATATTTCTGTTTGTTTTTTACGTTATCATTACTTTGGGCCAAAATATTTTCGCCTATCAGTAACAACCATGCCCATTTTGCCCATTGTTTTTCTTCAACACAAGAGAGGTTTTCTCATTGGTCTAAAAATCCTGGTTACGCCGCTGGTTCGAGAGAATATAAGCACAGCCACATCTACACCCACACGCTCATTATTCAACTTAAATGAATGAATAAAACAAAATAATTTATCTAATATTATCTTCGTTTTTACTCTATTACATAAATGAAGTTAAAAGAATATTTTAACTAAAAATTTTAATTGACTGCAATATTCAATTGTAAATGACTAAAATTATAGTCGATGTGAATATAAAGTTGTTGATGTAATTTAGCTACCTTTTCTGTAATAAATGTTTCAATGATCTTTTACAACGATCATTTAGTCAAAATTTTTTTTTCTAATGTCCAATCAAAGTTTGTTTTTTTTCTTATCTTGATTCGCATTTTGTTACATCATTGGAATAAAAGCGTTCATTATGATAAGAAAGACATTTCATTATTTTCTTTTCTTTCTTTCATCAATAACAATAAAAAATGTTTTTATGTTAATCAAAATTATCTTAAGAGATGTTTTCGAAAATTGATTAAATAACAACTTATCATTTTGAATTTCATTTTTAATCATTCTGAATCGATATGGATTGAAAATTCTGAAATAATTAATGAAATTTAATCAAACATACAAGGGTATTTTATATTTTAATGTTAAATAACGATCAAAATCATTTTCTTTCTTTTCTCTTTCAAACATTTTTGAAATTGTAAAATTGATTATTTTTATACTATTATATTATCGTTGATCACATATTTGCAAAAGAATAATTCTTTTCCTGTTGAAACAATAATCAAGTTAGATGTTTTTTTTATTCGTATATTTCATATCGATCTTTGTGTTACAAAAATTGAATTTTTGGCGCTTTGGCGCAATATTTAGTAAAGAATCGATCATTGTGACTAAAAAAATTCACAAGAAGACGCATAATGAAGAAAGAATTTTCAATGGATTTCGATATGAACTCTTTTTCTTAATCTCGATCAATTTTTTCCATTTTTCTGTTGAAAATCTCATAAATATTTGATTGATAATCAAATAAATCAAATGGTTGATCAAATCATAATGGGAGTTAAAATTTAGTTTAATGATAATAAATTCTTTTGTTTTGCTTTTTTGTCTTCATTTTCTTGCAAAATATTTGACATGATATTTTTTTATTATGGTTTGTCACATCAAAAATAATAATTAAGAATAAAAAGTTTTTCTTTGATCAATTATTCTATTATTTTATCATGATGAGTTTCATTTCTTTCAAATCATTTTTAACTACATATTAAGAATTTAGAACTGTTCAATAAATTAAAGTTTAAATCAGCGTTGACATTTGTCCATTTTAAAAGATAAATTTCGATAATCCTGAATTCTTTTAATAATGAACAGTAAATATTATTATTCGATATCAAAATATTCAAATTAAAAAAATCTTTGATACCAAAATAACAAAAATGTAACTTTCTTTGATTTATTTTTTATGATTCGATTGATTATTCAAGATTATTATGAATAGCAATAAAAACAATGTTCATCTTCAACAATTATCAATTTCGATCAATGTTAAACTTTTGTATTCGATGATTTCTGTGATCACACACATAAAGATTACCTTCTCGATCAAAAGACAAACCAATGGGGTCCGAAAGTCGATTCGATTGACTTTCTTGACCATTCTCACTAATGATAACATTTCCTTGGGTGATTCCTTGCGACCAACGCATAATTCGATCGTTCGAAAAATCAGCCACATATAGAGTACTTGATTGATCGATGATAATTCCACAAGGATTTGATAATTGTGAAAGACTATTTTCTTGACCTTGACCACCAGCTACAACAATACCTTGTTTCTCACCTTTCGTCCATTTCATTACACGATGGCTATTGTAATCTGATACATACACTGAATGACCTCGATCGACACATACTTATGTAGGACGAGACAACTGATTGAAAAGATTCTCTTATCTATTTCCACCTGCAACTACTGTTCCTTGATTTTCTCCTATTTGATATCGTCTAACTTCATGTTTATCATAATCAACAATATAGAGAAGTCCATCATCATCGATTGCTAATCCGTAACATCCGACATTTGACATGATTGTTTCTCCATTTGTACCATATTGACGACACTATCGAACCACTCTTTTATTATTGTAATTACAAACGATAAGACTATCTCTTTTGTTATCAATAATCACATCTGTTGGATAATTCAACTGATTAGAACAGTTTTATTTTCCATTCCCACCGGCAATAACTCGACTAGTTATTGCACCATATTTCCATTCCACAATATGATGATTAGAGCAGTCAGTAATGTAGATCGTTTGATCATCATCAAAACACAAACCTACAGGATCGTAGAGTTGATGTATTGCGTTGCCCTGACGTGTGGGTGGATGTGGGTGTGCGTGTGGGATGTGAAGAAAAGAAACACCCACACGCCAACACTCACACCCGTATTCACACCTTCTTTCATGTGGGTGTGGGTGTGGGGGTGCGGACATGGATTTTGCTGCAGAGCAGATTGACAGTGATACACGTACACTCACACCCACATCCTGTGTGAGCGTGGTGGTAAGCGCATATGAATGTGGATGCACAGTAAAACTATACGTCACATCTAATCTTTCATTTCTCTATATAATAAAAAGTTGAATAGGAAATAGGTTTTGACAGAGTTACAAGACTTGCTGTCTATGTCAAAGTCCTTTTTTCGTCATTTAGGCAATAGAATAGTGTATGAATTCAAGATTGAACATGAGATCTTCACTCACTCGTCCTCATTCTTTTTATATTTATCTGGGATCTTTGAGAGTCGGACAATTGGAAAGTCCATTCATTCTAATTTGTGACCTACTGAAAAGAGTTTATCGATATGAAAATGAATTTATTTCTAATCAAATATGCTGGTAATAACATTAGATTAGCTTTTTATGAATCCAATAGGTTATGCTTAATAATTGCTGAAAGCTGAATGTTGAGATAAATAAAAAAAAATTCTTTTTTTTTTATATACAAAAAGCCCAAATATCTGATAGTTATACACAATATAAAATCGATTCAGTTTTATCAAGATTTTATTGAAGAAAAAAAAATACGCCATATTGCCATTTGACAATATTATATGTTATATCAAGCAATAAGTACATTGAATTGATGAAAAAAAGCGAAGATTTCAATTCCTTAAAAATACAGAAGCTCTGTAAAAGTTGTAAATGAATATGAGTTTTGTTTGCAAATGAAATAATAATTTAGTCCAACTTGGCCAATATACCAATGCTGATAGTATTTTCAGGATTTAATTTAATGTTCACTGCTGCTCCCGGATACAAACTTTTTAGGATCGAATAAATATACAATGGCCAACGTCGAATCCAACTTCGCCATCCAACAGTTGATACTTTGATTGTTTCATTTGGAACAAAAAATGTAACTTGTAACTCATTATTTGGTATCGGTACATTATGTTGAGCATGAGCGAGTAATAAAATTTCGTAGGGTTTTATTCGACATTCAGTATAGCCGTATAATGCTGTAATATGATAAATATTATCACCGTAGATTTTCACCGTAAGACGTTCATTGTCTCTGATTACCGCTCGTTTTGTATGCTCAATTTTAAGAAATATAATCACTTGAGGTATGGAGTGCATATACGACAGAAAACTTTCAAATACATGAGGCGTATGTTTCTTCGACATTGTTAGAAAACAAGCAACGCCTGGTGTCACTACAGCCGGAATGACATCATTGGTATTCATGTTATTTAACTCGAAGTTGAAAGATGTAGTGGATGGTGATGCTACTGGTATGTTTTGTATTAATTGTATACGACTTTGAACTCTGGGTAGAGTTCCGGCGTCATTCGCTTCAAAATCAACATCTGAATCTGAATCCGAGAATGACATATTGTCCCAGTGAGTTTCTTTAGCCGTTGCAATAATAGGAATATCAGTTAGAGAAACTCCGGAGTTTTGTTGCGAGCGTCGCGCCAATAGGCCAAGTCTTATTACTAGGATGTTAAGGTTGGTTGTCTGCGCATGAATCTTCAGAAAACGACGCAATTGCAATTGACCAAAAAACCAGCAAAAACCAAGAATGAAAAATACAGATCCAATCAGAATAGCCACCCATCCTCCAGAAGGAATCTTGATCGCATTTGCTGACCATGTGTAAAGGTCAATAATGAGAAATATACTGAATGGTGCAACAATATACCATGGTTTGTGCCACGTATAGCGAAGAAGAAGCATGTATAAGATAGTTGTGATGACCATTACGCTACAAACAGTTACTCCATAAGCATTGGTAATATTAGCACCCGTTTGAAATCCAGCAACGACAGCAATAGTGAGGAACATTAATATGTAGTTTATGGTAGGAACATAGATTTGACCAACAATCGTTTTTGATGTATGCCATATTTGAAATGGTACCGAACATTCCATACCAATCGCTTGACTGATCAACGAAAAACTGCCAGTGATTATAGCTTGTGATGCAATTATTGTCGCTATAGACGCGAGAACAATCATGGGCCAATGTCCCCAACGTGGAACAGAATGATAAAATGGGTTACTAATCAAAGTCGGGTCAACGATTAATAATGCGCCTTGTCCCAAATAGTTGAATAATACGGCAGGAAAAACAATAAAGAACCACGAACAACGAATTGGCCACCGCCCAAAATGACCTAAATCAGCATATAATGCTTCAAGGCCGGTAACAGAGAGAAAGACGCCACCGATTTGATAGAAACCTCTTTTCTTTTCGGTTATAAGATAATGCAATGCTTCCCATGGATTAAATGCTTTGAAAATGCTTGGTTTATAAGTTATTCGCCAAATACCGATTGCAAATAAAGAACTAAACCACAAGCACATGATCGGTCCAAAAGTAACACCAATTTTCGATGTTCCCCATCTTTGAGCAATGAAAAGAAAAACTAAAATGATTATTGTTATCGGTACAATCCACTTTTGCAACTTTGGAGCTTCAACAGCCACTCCCTCGACAGCTGATAACACTGATACAGCTGGTGTTAATGCACCATCACCAAGTAAGAGAGATCCAGCCAGCAGCGATACAATGATTATCATTTTTTTACTTCGTGGACCCAAAAAACTTTTTTCACTTGTCAATAACCCACATAGAGCAAATGTTCCTCCTTCACCAAAGTTATCAGCCATAAGTATAAAAATACCATATTTGATTGATACAGCAATAATTAAACTCCAAATAATCAAGCTTACTGCTCCGATGCATTGTGCTTCGTTTGGTTGAAAATCGAATATCGTACTAAGAACATATAATGGTGATGTACCTATATCACCAAAAATAACACCTAATGAACGAAGTGTCAGATTGAAAAATAATGATGGGTTCTTGAATGGTGTAATGTCGACAGTTATCGGATGCTCATCTCTCAACAGTGTAGACTGTCTGGCTTGTTGACCGTGGTGTATGGGTCGTATTGAAGTTAATACATGTTCATTGGTGTGATCGGGGCCTGTAGCATTCTTTGTCACAGAATTGTCTTCTGTCTTGTTGTCATACTGAGCCATATTGTCGGCTGTAATGCAAGAGAGTGAAAAAAATACCGAAAAAGTCGAAATGCAACTTTTTAAACTCAATGGTAGCTGCATATCATAATTTCAAAATCGTCATTGGAACTGGCAATCTTAGTAAGATTTTATAGCACAAGTGATTTCTGTTGGCTAATAATGACTGGCTTGTGAAGGCGCTCTGTTTAAGAAATCGAATCTTCACAAGTTTCGTCATGTATCCGTATGTTTCAACACTTGTAAAAAAACTAATGATTAAATCGAACGATGCAGAATCCTTATTGATCAGTAATTTTTGACATCTTCATTCACAATTAAAGACTCAGGGTAGGCAACTGACCAAATGTTATTCTAGTCTAACAATCTTTCAAGAATAGTAGAAAGATAAACTGAAATGATTGAAAAGCAGATTGTTTGAGAGTATTCTAACAAGAATCATTTTTTTATATCTTCATTTTCTTCTTCGTCGTCCTTGTGTGAATATGTACGTCTTTTTTTCTTCTAATGCATACCTACTCTGTACATATTCAGCTCAATCGTTTTTTTTCGCGTTCTCTGTCTGATGCACGTGGACGTGTGTTGAGTGATGCATAAAATAGATGAAGGTTTGTCAATAAATCAGTTGTTTTGGTTATTGGAAAAAAACAAATTTTCTTGTGTTCTTGAAGCTTTTGCTATAGAAAGAAGTCTTTGTAGCACAGACATTAATTATTCGTGAGGAAATCATAAACAGATCACACAAGATAATATTTTATTCAAGAATGCCTATTATTTACCACCAATCTTCGTTTCCTAATCATATCCACATTAATAGATAATAAAAAATTAAGTTCAATTGTGTACAAATCGTAATCTAATGTTATCCTAATACAATATGTAGGGTATAATTATTTAAAACAAAAATCCATAAATGAAAATCCCGACTTAGTCACCCGAATTCGACTTAATTTTTTGAATTATCTATAAATATAGAGCTGATAAACGGAACCATGACTTGCAGTAAATGATAACCAATTTATTAAATCAGTAAAGCTCGGGTTCAAGCATCATCTTACCTGCATTCATCATTAGTGAGATATTTCTGTTATGATTATAATAGTTAGAATATGTTTTGCTCAATCTAATTTATCGCAATTATATATCATCAACGAAAAACGATTGATGACACATTTGTGATGCGTATATTATACTGCGCATAGAAAAAGAAAAAGAAAAAGAAATTTTCTTTGTCTCTTGTTTTTTTTTACTTGCAACGTGCGTATGCATCGATACAATTATTGGGCGTGGCTTTCATTATAATTATTAACGTTATTTTACATTGATGGCTCGCTTTTCTGTTCTGTATGATCAGTATTTTATAGCTGTTGAACTTTGATCGCAATTCTCTATTTTTTTACTCTTGCGTAGAAGATAGACATGAGTATTTTTGCACTCATATTCAATATTTGCATTTGATTTAAACACTGTTAATGAAAGACGACATTCAAAAAAAAATATTAGGTGCTATATGGCAAAAATATCAATTTTGTTCGAACAAAGAAAATTTATAAGATGAAATCGTTGATTCACACATAAAAATACAGTTTATTGACTTGAATAATTATGAAAATACCGAAAAATGATTAGTATAATTCACTTTTCAGTGTATACATCTTAATAGCTATTGTGTACTGGAAAGATGATTAAGTTATAGTTCAGATTTTGACAGATTTTCCCAGTGAGTCACTATGATCTTCTATTTGACTAAATTAGATTATTTTTGATACTATTTTCTGAATCTTTATTGTCATCCTTCAATTTTTTGTCTATTATATTAAATGAAAGACAATCGAAAATTTGTCGGAAGCTATGATAATAGAACATGATTATGAAAAGTAAGCACATCGTTGATTATAACTGACTCGAAGCACACAGCAAGAATACGTCTATCATTTTAGAAAACTATCACGAGAAAAAAACAACCATCTATGTGGAGTTAATAAACGTAAGCGAGGTTGTTATGAAGAGGGATGAATCAGCATTGTTTTTCACTCAGTAAAACATAATAACCAAAAATTATTTTTCTAAGTTGCTCTACTAGTTTGAACTCGAAGAGAAGCTGTTTCTTGTTCGTTCACTGTTAAACTTTATTATTTTCTTTTTAAAATGATTGCACTGAGCCAATGTTGTCTAATTTTGTCAAGAATAAGTGTAGCAAAAATGACTTGACTGAAAACGTTTATTTAAATCCTTCCAGGTGAGTGCACTACATTTCACATGTTTCACGAGCTTAAACTGTTTGGTCACTTTTTCAGTTAGATCAATATTGAAGCACTATCAAGACTTAAGGATTGTGAGGCAAGTAGATTTGATTAACAGTGAGGATGAAAACCGTGTTGAGACAATAACGATGTATTTCATGTACCCGTTTTCTTGCATACTTAGATGAAAGAAGCGGGATAGGACACTGGAGTTGAAAAACAACTCAATCTGAGTGTTGTGAAAAACTGAAGCAACGATGAGACGATCTCATTGCATAATCAATTTGTATAAGCTTTGAACTTTTTGCTCTTTATATATTTTTTTAGGTACACGTGAATGTCGATGTCGAGGTGAGTGTAAGTGGTTGAATTGAAGATAGACACTCATACATTCACAAACCTCTGATTTTAATAGATATTTTTAAAATTTTTAGTTACTACAAAGTGTGTCGCACAATAAGATATTTGATGGATTATTTATATTCCATTGGACAAAGCCATTTGCAATAGTAAAAAACGGAACTGATTAAAGTTGTTTCAATTATTGATCGATTATTTTTACTACTTCATATGAAAACATAATTAAACGGAATAGAAAAACGCAATACATTGAAACTTTCTATATTTCTGAACGATTGTTCATATTATTTATACATATATATATCTAGCAATTCATTTGAATAAAAGAAAAATCCAATAGATAAATAGATAGTCATGAATTCATATCAATTTGAGATCCGATTGTTTATATTTCCAATTGAAAAATCAATTTTAACTAGGAAAAACAAACATCGATTAATTTAAGTTCGATCCATGATGTATTATTGATATTGTATGAGGAATATAACGTCCAGTTGACTAAACAAAATAGATGTGGATAGAAATCATGTTGATTTTTCATCAAGTATTGAGATGTTATATGACAAAAAAAAGCCGATTTCAATTATTGGAGAAACGTTGATCGAGCATCAGTGATATTCTGCTTACTAAACTTATTTTATATTATACAAAAACTAATGAGAAACATAATTAACGGATTTAGAAACTGTTTTCTGATATATTACATTTATTCTTTATGATATTCTTTTCCCATTTTTTTATGGATTTCAAATTTTTCGAGTTCTTCCATTCGAAAAATCGCGTAGAAATTTTCTCAATATCTTCATAATTCTACAAAAAATAGATTACTTTTAACGTAAAAGAAATGAGAGGCAAGACAACAGAAAAAAAGTTGATTTCATTGGAAAAAAACAAATGATTCGTACAACAAACTAGCACAAATTGAAACGTTCAATGCATTTCTGTGTCATTGACATATTGAACATCATGTTACAGAATGACTTCATTGGGGCGCAGATGGTGAAAATTCATATGAAATTTATGCAAGATGTATTGGTTTGTTCATGCACAACGTACAAAAATTTATCGTTTGGGACTGATTATCATTGATGTAATCACTGTATCAACAAAATGCACGAGATGAACAAGAGAATATCTGTGTACAGTAAATCTCTTCACTTGTTATCGTAATAACCTTCTCATTCACTCAACGAAACCAACACATCATTGTATTTTTAATCAAATATTTACGAAGAACAATATGTAAGCGGTAAAGACAATATCTGTTTTCAAATACTATGGTCCAATAGTAATATTGAATTCGCGATAAATCAAAGAACAACAAAGCAAATAGAGATTAAGATAAAAAGAAATGAGAATAAGGAATGTGTAGGATGCTTTGTATCTTAGATCGATTTTCGTCAATCATTCGAATAAAAATAAATCTATACTAAAAAATACTTCGTATTTCACTTGTTATTTCTGTTTCTCGCTTGTTTTCCAATAACATCTGTCGTATCTCTACCACCACTAGAAAACCAACATACCGGCAAAAATCTTGAAAAACAATCTGAGCCAACCTTGCAAACATAAACGTACCAAGTTGCTCCGGGTATTACATATGAATATATTTATGTCGAAGCATATGATGATTGCGGTGTTAAAAAACCGACCTTTTTATTTCTTCACGGTTTTCCGTCATCTCTCCATTGTTAGGGTCATCAAGTTGAGTACTTTTCACAACAAGGATACGGATGTTTGGCAGCAAATACAATGGGATATGGCAAATCGTATTCTCCAATGAACAAAACTGAATATAAGGCCAAATCAATGGTAGATCATTTTATGACTCTTCTTAATCACTTGAATTTAGATAAATTTTTTATCGTTGGACATGATTGTGGTATGAAACCTGCAAGTCGTATAGCTCTGTATGAACCTGAACGAACATTGGGTCTTGTCCTTCTTAGTGCTGCTTACATGCCACCAAGCATATTTGATCTTGATCAAGCAATAGCGAATTCAGCAGCATATTGTGGATATGATGCGTTAGGTTATTGGAAATTCTTTGATTCGGATGATGCTTCCACAATTATTGAATACAGTTTAGAAAGTTTCATTGATCTTGTCTATGCCAGCAATACAACACTTTTCAAGACAGAATTTTCTCCCACTGGAAAGATGCGACAATGATTAATCAATAAGTATAGAACTGATCGAGCTTTTTATATGACAGATAGTGATTATAATATCGTGCGTCAATATCTTACGAAAGCAATGCAACCAAAATTGAATTGGTACAGATCAACTATTGCTAATGTTGATTGGGAAGACGAAAGAAATATCGATCCAACTATTCGACGTTCAATTCTCTTTATGAGAGGAAAGCAGATCGATATCTGTCGTGAAACATCTCTTGCA